TTTCCTAATTTAAATTTTACTATTATATATATATATATATATATATATATATATATATATATATATATATATATATATATATATCTTATTCTCATATCTGCTCTATCTATCTATCTATCTATCTATCTATCTATCTTACTCTATTCATATCTATCTATCTTACTCTATTCATATCTATCTATCTATCTATCTTACTTTATTCATATCTATCTATCTATCTATCTATCTCTCTCTCTATCTCTATTCATATCTATCTATCTTACTTTACTCATATCTATCTATCTATCTTACTCTACTCATATCTATCTTACTCTATTCATATCTATCTATCTATTTATCTATCTATCTATCTATCTTACTTTATTCATATCTATCTATCTATCTTACTCTATTCATATCTATCTTACTTTACTCATATCTATCTATCTATCTATCTATCTATCTATCTATCTATCTATCTATCTATCTTCTTGAGCCGGTTCTCCGTCTGAGAAAATCAAGTGCTTACCGCCCGTACTTGTGTGAAAGAATTACTTGTCTACAATTCACCCTCTCTCTTCTCTTTCCCACCCTCAAACCCTGTAATCCACGTGAGTGCATTTCTACCCGAGTCTCATAACAGACACATGTAAGTCCCACCGTGTGGGACATTCGTCAAATCCCCTCACATACTTTCGACGCTCACCAGGGAGCCGCGGTTTTGTCCTTTGTCAATTTACCTTTCTATGCCTCGAAAAAACAAAGATGTTTGACAATTGTAAAATACGAAGAAAACGGGAAAACAAATAAACGCGCTAGAACCCATAACGTCCAGATGGACTTTAATCCGACAGAAATTTACTGAAAACATTTGAGAGACATTTGGTGAAAACAATTAAGACAGATTTGCTGAAAACGTTTCAGGCTCATTTGCTGAAAAAGTTTGAGACAAAAGTGCCGAAAACGGCTGAGACACATTTGCTGAAAACGTTTGAGACACATTTGCTGAAAACTTTTGAGACACATTTGCTGAAAAGGTTTGAAACATATTTGCTGAAAAACGTTTGAGACATATTTGCTGAAAACGTCTGAGACACATTTGCTGAAAACGTTTGAGACACATTTGCTGAAAACGTCTAAGACATTTGATGAAAACGATTTGTTTCTGTCATTGACTCATTGGTGCGTAAGTAAATATAATGCACCCAAGTAGAATTCGAACTCGGATCTACTCTCCTATCCATTACACCACCTGCGCACCCGGATAGAGTGAGAGAAATAGAAAGTGTAGAGAAGGATAAAACGTTTTCATCAGATTTTAGACGGATTTAAAAGAAAAAAAAGCGATCATCTTTGATAGATAGATAGATAGATTGATAGATAGATAGATCTATCTATCTATCTCATTTTGTTCATATCTAAGTCTGTTCTCTCTCTTTCGGGTAGAAATACACTCACGTGGATTACAGGACTTGTACTTTCGATGGGTAAATTGTCACCGTTTTATATTTTTAATTTCGTGCATGGGTGTTGTTTGATTTTGATTTTGGCAACTGCACAGTCCAATAGAGTCAGTTGGACACTGTCTGTGAGAAAAAGACGCCCATGGC